ACCTATCAGAGGCTGGTAAACAAAATGTTTGCTGAGCTAATTGGTAAAACCATGGAAGTCTATGAAGATGATATTTTAATTAAAATCCCCAAAACTAAGGACTATCTCATACAAAATAATCAAGTACACCTTAAAAAGAAAACTTGATGACTCTAAAGGAGCATGGGTAATGAGCTCCCTCAAGTGTTGTGGGCAATTAGAACCACAAGTCGAACTTCTACTAGAGAGATCCCATTCTTCTTGGACTATGGAGCTGAAGCTATGAGCCTGATTGAGATAAGTTTATCCTTACCTCATCGCTTGCATTTCAACGACAAGATGAGAAGGGTTGAACTCAGTTTTCTTGAAGAAGGGAAATATGACTCCCAAATGAAACTCTCATCGTACCGGTAAAAGATGACCCACTACTACAAGGTAAAGTGAAAAAGAAATCATTTCTCACAGGTGATCTAGTTCTAAGAAAGGTATTCCTCTCCTCAAAAGATCCAAGCATGTCACATTAGATCCTAATTGGGAGGGTCCCTATTGAATCAGAGAAGAACTACATCTAGGAACCTAGAAAATAGAAGACATGGGTAGAAAGCCATAGCATCATCCATAGAATATATAACATCTGTGTAAATACTATCAGTGAGAAGAGGCCATCCCTTCTCAGTTGGATGGTCTTTCCTAGCTAATGTAAAATTTTCTCAATGGAATAAATTTTTGTATAGGCGTCTTCAACCATAATCCTCCGGATGAGGTTATGAGCTCTTCAAAAAGCATCTCCCCTCAACCTATAGAGACCTTATACTCCTTGACATAGATGAACCAGTATACCCCTTGATATGGATTAACCATCCACCATACAAAGAAGCATTTATTGCTTTTACAAGAAAAGTGTGAGGCATCCTAAAGGAAACCCACCTCAAACCCTATAAAGTAGACATCATACCCCATTGAAATGGATGAACCATCCACTATGCAAGGAAGCATTTTTCATTTTGGCATGAGACGTGAAAGGAATACAAAAAGAGCTCAATTCGAACCTTAGTAGCAAACCTAGATAAACCATCCACCATGTAAGGAAACATTATCGTTGTAACACTTGAGGTATAAAACATACCAAATGGAGGCCACCTCAAAACCTACCAAGCAGACCTCATACCCTTTGACATGGATGAACCATCCACAAATGAAATATTTATCTCTTTGATATGACAGATGAAAAAAATCCTAAAAGGACCAACCTTGAACCCTACGAAGATGACCTCATTTTCCCTTGTAAACCATCCCACACGTAAAGAATTTTGCCATTTTGACATGAGAGATGCAAAGTATCCCATAGAGAGCCCACCTCAAAGATTATGGAGTAGACCTCAATTATATCATCAAATCCAAGGCTTCAATTACCCAATTAATTGAGGTGTCAAGACCTGTACAGTATAATTAGTAAAAGAGAAGTTTGAGGCTGTACAACTACTTATTCAACCTAGCCCGTCTGAGATTACCATGGTTTCTTAAACAGGTTAGCTCGAATTAATGAAGCTAAGGTGTTATTAGATATACGACAAGGAAACAACACGAAGCAAAAGTAACACACATAGAAAAGTAAGAGGTAATAACACTTGGATGAAATAAAACCTTCATTAATTAAGAAGATTTCAAGTTATGAGATCGATGCCTTTACAAAAAAATTAGAACTACTAAAGCCTCTTCTCTTTAGCCGCTTCCTCAAGCTCGACTGCATCGTACTCGACCTCCTCGTCATCTTGAACATCATTAGCAGTAGTAGGGATGGACCCAACACCGACGAGGGGGCACTACCGCCCGTGCTGGATCCGTCAGAGTCTTCAATACCGCCGACGTCGTCGGATCACTGTTGCAAAGAGAATAGAGAAGATGGGAAGAAGAAGCCACTATTTCAAGTCATGTAGGCCGGTTTTTTTTAAGTTTTGGCCCATTAATTTTGCGATGCACTGGCTTAGTTATTTTGAAGGTAACGTTAGCGTGTTAAATGTGTCGGATTATCATAAAGTACATTCTGCCTTGTACATTTGGAAAAATAAAAAATAAAATAACTCTAGCATAAAAGTCTTTAGAATGAACTAAGGAAGAGAAAGATCAGAAGCAAAACTACATCTTCTATCCCCTACATCAGATGAGAATAGCTGGAGTCTCCTATGTATCCTACATACATCATAGAGAATTTAAGTGTATAGATAGAATATTGCATTTTTGTAAATGGACAAAGTAACACCGCATAATGTTTTGTATACCATGCTTTCGCATCATTAAGAGAAACTTAATAAT